GAATCTATTAAATTAATGGGTTGTAATGTAACCAATTAAAACATGAGACGTATCCAACTAAACTAAAGTTATGTACAATTCTAGACTCATTCTGTATAGACTTGACAGTTGCTGACAATTGAGTTGCACAATCGTGAGCAAATGCGTAAGAGAGAAAGATACAGGTTTCCTACTCATACAAGGCGGTTCACATGTCATTTCTCATTCTACTCATAAACAAACAATAGGACACACATACACGCACTCGTTTGTCTTTTAAATGCATTTACTTTATTACATATTAAAATACACACTTACACATTATTCATGCATTACACACACACTTTACTTCACCTTAACACACACACAAACACTTGGCATACACCCACCCACATACATAATTTTTAAAATAACCCACCAAATTTTGTTTGACACGTGTCTAAAAATATTTCCATTCAATTTTAATAATTCTATTGGTCTCCCTCCAAATTCTTAAGTGATTCCAAAATCAACCCAATATTATTTTCATATACAAAGTTCTATCTAATAATTAATTTCACATAATTATATTTAGTCCACATAATTATATTAATATCTGATCGAGTCTCACAAATCACCCTCGATTCTCTATACAATTTTCAACCATGAGGTCAAGGTATCAACCATTGTCATTTGCAATACTTAATTACTTTGTCCCTAATCGGACTTCTCTTCACCTCTCTAAATGCTTTCTTATTTGTTATAGATGTAGTATTCAATTGTAATAATTATTTACTCATTATAATAATAATTTGGTGATTTATATATAATTTTTTTTAGCACGATTTCAATAATTGTAGTGAACTGTTTAGCATTAAGATGGGACGTTTTGCTTCCAACAAGTCCAAATCAATCAACAAATGGTTATTTGGAAATCCATACATCAAATTAGATATAATTATAAAAAAATATATAAAATAAAATATTTTTAGAAAAAATACATAGTTAAGATACAAAAATGTAAATGCCCATTTTATAAAATTTTTTTTCCTAAAAACTTTAATAAAACATATATTAAGCGTTGAAATTTATGATCATTTAATTCAAAATCTCTTATCTTTAATTCATCTTGATTCATGCATATTATTTTTTGGAAAGTAGTTTTATTTTCAAATTATATTTATGCATTAAATATTTACTACTACTAGTTTTATAAGAGAATTTTAATATTTCGTTTATTTAAAAATATATTACTTGTTTGAATTTCAAAATTTGTTAATATCCGAATTTCATAATAGTGTAACAAAAATAGTGTAACAAATACATTATAATAAAGATAGTGTAATAATACACTGTAACAAAAATAGTGTTCAATAATTTTGTGCATGTGGTAACAAATTCAAAACGGAGATGGACTGTTTTGAATAAAATTATATGAATATATATGTTTGAGAAAATGTAATAGTACAATATTTTGTATAAATGACGTCTTCCACTATTATTCTGATATTGTTCGGATATTAATATAATTTGAAAACAAAATCACTTTTCAAAAAAAAAAAAATATATGCATGAATCAAGATGCATTAAATATAATTTAAAAACAAAATCACTTTTCAAAAAAAAAATATATGCATGAATCATGGTGTATTAAATATAATTTAAAAACAATATTACTTTTCAAAAAAAATACGCATGAATCAAAGGAGGATATACAAATATGGAATATTAAAATTCTCCTATAAAATTATAAGATATTTAATGCATAACTTTTCAATGAAAATACACATAGATCAATAGGACAAAAATATCACAAAAAGATCAGTAAAATTTAAATAATATATTTAAATACAAATAAGTATTAAAATTAATAACTTAATTATTCAATATTTTTTTATATTTTTTTTTTATAATAAAGTCTAATTTGATATCTCCCTTTCCAATTTTCCCGTTTACTTATTACGACGACAATAATGTGATGTAAGCAGTTGGTGGGCCTGGGTGTTGCTGAAACTGAAGATGGAGTTTGGAACTTTGGGCCTTGTGGTGACTACTGAAGGTATGGAAGATGGTTTGGGGTGGCTGTCGGTGTTGGGGCAGGGGAGCTGTAGGGAGTTATGGATAAGTATTGGGGCTCTCCATGATAGGGCTTGTCGTTGATGATTGTTTTGAATAAAAAATAATATGGATAATTAAGGGGTTTTAAAGTCTTTTTGGTCAATTGTGTTATTTTGGTTGATATTACTAAGTGTAAAGTGTTAATGTGCAAACTAGGTGATAAGAGTGATAATTTCTGATACGACACAAAAATATAATTCAAAATTAATAAAAAATTAGTGGGTTATAATTGTTTATTTCTTGATACAAATTCGTAAATGACACGATCCATTAATACAAATAATAAATGGATCAAATTAATATCAAATATCAATAACACGAAATTGACTTAATTAACATGTTTAACTAGTATTATAAGAACAAAATATTAAATTTTACTAATTTTAATCAAGTAGTAACATAATTATTGTACAAAAAAAGATATGTTTACTTATTATTATTATTATTAAGTTAATTTTGAGTTTATAAAAAAAGTATAAGTATAGGTATAATTAAGTGATAATTAAATTTTATACTTAAATCTGAGCATTAAATTTGATATCAATAATGCTATTGGGATATAATTGACAGATATAATTTGAGGACATAATAAATTATGACTAATGTATGATAGTGAAACGCATTTAATGATGCGACTCATTGCAAAATTAAATGCATTCTACCATTATTCTATTAGTCACAATAATGCATTATGTCCCTAAATTATATCTTAGTCAATTTTATTTACACGTTATATAGGTCAATACGAACACGACAAAAAATAATGACTCGATACAATTAATTAAATAAATTGGGTTAGAATTGACTAATGCTCAATATAAATTCAAAAATGGCACAACGGTGGTAGTGGCGGTGGCATCGGCAGCGGCAAATGGATAAAATGAAATTTGACCTCTCAACTAAAATCTTTATAAATGTGGTGGTGGTGACGGGCAACGGGGATGGATAAAATGAAATTTGACCTTCCAACTAAAATATTTTTTATGTTACCCATCAACTATCATATTGTTCTGTATTAATTTCACATCACTCTTGTTATTAACGTTCCTTACATATTTAACAAAAAAAAAAAAGGACAAAATCCAGTTTATTCCCTTGTAGTTTGGATATTTTGCACATGACCCTCATATCATTAGGAAATCAACACATTACCTCCTTGTAATTTTAGACCAATATGCACAATTAACACCGTGAACAAAAGTAATAAAATGATTTTAATATTCTCAAACTCTCAACCGTTAAACATCAAAATAGGCCACGTGTTATGAGTTCCACTTGAACTTCTCATGCCCACTCACACCAGTTAGCAATATATCTCTCTTCCCACCATCTCAGCAAAATTATATCTTGCCTCTCTCTCACACTCTCTCTCTCACTCAACAATGTCATTGCTTCTCTCTCTCTCTCTCTTTTATCATCTCTCTCCATCAACAACCCTTTCTCCCCCTTCTCTTTCTCTAAGCAACAACCTCATTGGCTCTTTCTCTCACCACCCATCTGCCACAATTGACAACCCTCTCTTTGTCTCTCTCTCTCTACAACCAATAAATCAACGATCCATCTTCTCCCAATTATCACTGCCGTCGGGGCAACCATCAGCAACCATCTGGGCAACCATCACAACCGCGACCATACTATCTATTTACAGAGCACAAACTCAAACCCCCAATCACCCCAATCAAAGCAAGGATTCTGGAGAACTACTGATTTGTGTTTGGTATTTGTACTGGGTCAAAGGACTACTAATTTTTCGGTGGAGTTGCAATTGTCTTGTGAGGTTGGGTTGGCTTTGCTGAATGACTAGAAGGGATTACCTAGTCTGCGAAGGAACAGAAGGGTTGTGTTTGATGATATGGGCTAACAGGCTTTGTTTTATTTGAACATCCTTGAAGCAAATGCTGATTTGTCTGAAATTTGCTAGAAAGGAAGCTGGACAGTGATGATGTTTTGGTTTGGGAGTTGGCTGGATGAGCTGTTGGTTAACTTTTGGTTTTGTTACTTAAGTTTGGTTTGTTGTCTTTTAAGGCATATATTTTGCTTCGTGCTTTCTGTAAGGTATATTGTCTTCTTGTAATTACTGTTTTTTTGAATAAATAAATTTCTATTAAAAAAAAAGGGGGATAAACTGGATCCCTTGTTTTCCTTTGTTTCCTCTTGGTCTTCGTTGATCTCTGTTATTACTGGTGGGGGTGTCTTGCTTGGTTGATTGAACTTGGCTGTTGATGGTTGTTGTGCACAGTAGGGCAATTGTTCAAAAAGATGAAGATTGAATAAGGGTATTATTGTAATTTTATTGTGTCTATTTTTGGAGGAAAACGTGTTTTGTTATGTCAAATCTCCTCTTAAGTGCGTGTATGTCATGGATGGTCTAATCTAACAGAAATACTAACGGTAGTATTTTAGTCCAAAACCACAAGAGAGTAATGTGCTAATTTCTAAATGATAGGGGGATCATGTGCAAAATACTCAAACCACAAGGGAGTAAACTGAATTTTGCCCCAAAAAAAATTATTTTATTTTACCTCTTAAACTATTTTCTCACTTTAACCCAACGTGTTGGAAATATCCATTCAAAAAGATGACGAATGTATGAGATTGGGGCATTATAAAATAATGCAAATACTTGACGAGAAAAATGTAATAGTTTAAAAGATAAAGTGAAATAGAGTGCATAGTTTTGGGGGTTAAAACATAATTTATCTTTATGACCCTCGTGTAAATGGTAGAGGAGACTTCGGAGTTGCGAAAAGTTGGTAGACTGCACTGTTTATCAGGAACCATTTCTTCCCCTTCCCAACTCCCACGTTCCAGCTCTCTCTCTCTCTCTCTCACAAACACACACTCTGAACCCCTGTTTTTTCTCTCTCTAGAAAGTCTATGTACCATTGAGAGAGCCATAGCTTCGCCGTTTGATGCAGCAAGTAATGGGCTCAGAAGGATCAAGTGTTGTGGGTATGCTTCAAACCCTGAATTTCTACTTCGTTACATTGTAATGTTATCTTTTTATCTGTAAATTGGTTAGAATTCTGTGCGTTTCTGAAGCTTTTATGTGTATTGATTGTTTACTTGTTGCCTTTTGTTTTCATCTATAAATTTTTTTTTTTTCATGTTTTCTTAAATTTGGGGTTTGGTCAAGTTAGGGTTTTGGGAATTGGGTCAATATGTCTTGTTTTTAATTCAATTTGATGTTTTCGGCAATATGAATGTTATGCCCAATACATAATGAAGTTTGTGGATTTTGTTGTATATAAAATAACATGAGGTATGGATTGAAGGGTTTAGAAGTGAAAATTTTGATCATGAGCTACTATTGTCGGTTAATTTATTTATTTTTGGTGAAGTGAATGAGGTATTCTATATTTTTACTGACAAAGCAATCGTGGAATGAAGTAAGGTAGAGTTTTATGCGGTTCTATGTATCATTCTGTTAATTTTGGAGTACTGCTAAGTGGTGGTTGCTCTATGACCTTGTCGGGTATCACCTGTATCTGTGTGACATGGTGCAGATATGTAAGTTTGTGATAATAAACTTCCTGCATCTTTTAGTTCTCCACATGCCATATGCTTATGCAGGGCTGGCTCAATAATACTTGAGGCCTTGGGCAAAAACTTGAGACGGGGCTCTAAATGTTTTTTTTTTTTTGTAATTAAATTATTTTTTATTTTCTCATGTTAAATTCATATTTTCTATAAGTATATCTTAGATGGAAAACTACTTAAAGATTAAATGCCTTATCCAGATGGCTATATTGAGATCAAAATTAACTCAAGTATGTTCAAGAAACTAAAACTGGGTAAATACACTGGATTCACTAAAACTTAGATAGAATGGGAGGGATTAGATCTTATAAATTTTCAAAAAGAATATAATGCATGTTTCTTTTTAAAGTTATCAAAAATTTGCATAAAACCCAATTTACTTTATAGAAAAAGGAATCGAGAAAACGAAAAAGAAACAAGTGAGATATGGTTTATGGGGAAGAACTATGAAAGACACAAAAGAAACCATTGTAAACTGGACACATGCACATTCAACATGGTCACAATGACATAACTATTAGACCTTTGTCAAAAGGCAAATTTAATAATGAGGATATATATATTTGAAAGAAGAATATTTCCAATTTCTTTGCTAATATGATGTAACATCCTATTTCTATTTTTTACAAAATATAAGTGTATAATTTTCTGGATCGTAGACAAGCAGAGCCCTAGGTGAGCCCCTCACTCGCCTAGGAGTCTAGCTGGCATTGTTCTTATGCTCATTCGATGTTGGTGATGGGCGCTTCTNCCTATTTCTATTTTTTAAAAAATATAAGTGTATAATTTTCTGGATCGTAGACAAGCAGGGCCCTAGGTGAGCCCCTCACTCGCCTAGGAGTCTAGCTGGCATTGTGCTTATGCTCACATTCGATGTTGGTGATGGGCGCTTGTTGCAATGCTTATTAAATGTATGAGTTGCCATAGCTTAATCTTTAAATATGCAGTCAAAATAACTGTCTTATGTTCGCGTGGGCACGCATAAGGCTACGTTTTGTATGTAAAAATAAAAGGAGAAAGGTACTTACCAAAGAAAAAGAGGATGGAATCCAAGAAGGAAGCGACAGAATGTGCCGTTCCCTTTTTGCGGATGTAATTGAAGCAAGGTCCATAAATAGATGCCTGCGTTGAAAAACATGATTTGGGGGTTAGAACTTAGGATGAAAATGTATATATATGCATGCCTGCTAATGAACACACACAATTACTTATTTTGGGTGAGTAGATAGACAGAGGAAAGAAGGGATAAAGAAATGAGGTGTGTTTTGGTTGGGGTTTTTTTTTTTTTGGGTTGTGGGGGGGGAGAGATTTTGGGTTCTTTTTGGTGAAAAGCAGACTTCCAAGACTAATATGATGGGAGCTGCCCACTCTTTATTGGATTGATTTGGATGTGTTTATCAAAATAAAATCTATCTATTTGTGTTGCAATGGGAATGGGCAAAATAAATGGTTTTCCCAAAGTTATCTTCAGTTTATTTGACCCCAGCGCACAATCTGAATATAAAACCAAAAGAAAGGTAGTTTATAGATAATGCATTGTTTAATGCACTGTGTTTTTTACTACGCCATTGAATTTCAGGGACACTGTCCACTTATATCCCCTCATTCCGTAACTTTATTATTTTCAAATTTGTATTTTGATAACAAATTGTTGGAATAAATGTCCATCATATGCTCTGATTATGCATATCAGAAACCGGGTGAACAAGAGATTTGGAGCTACCTTATTAGCATCACATTCTAGGTTACAGTTTTATTCTCGGTAGAATTAAAAGAAACAGGAAGTTGCTAATTGAATGCTTATTAATGCTCATTTAACTTGATATGTTGCATGCATGACATGCACAGTGTGTAACCGGGCAGTTTGATTGGCAAAGACCATTCTTTGTCGAGGATTCAATGCATATTGCCCCTTTAGTTTTATACATAACAAACGTGAGTGCAGCCTTTTTAATCTTGACAAGTTTAGTTTGAGTGTGCTTGTGATTTCTGCCTCAAATTGCTGATGCCAGTGCACAGATCATATGGACATAATCATTTGATTCCAGCCAGTACTATTACCTAAGGATTTACTTGCATGTCACATGGATCATAGATACCTTACGAAAAATTGTGTTCTTTTGCAGTTCCGAGGAATTTTAGGTTATTAGAAGAGCTCGAGAGAGGAGAAAAGGGAATTGGGGATGGAACTGTAAGCTATGGAATGGATGATGCAGATGATGTATACATGCAATCATGGACTGGGACAATAATTGGTCCTCCAAATGTTTGTTTTCCTTTTTCAATCTTCCTATTCATGTCCTGTAAATAGCATATGACATAGTTATATATTACTGCATTCCCTGGGATGTTGACTTACTTTTTATATTTAAAGGTTGGAGGTATTTGAAAGGCCTTGGGCTCATCTTCAATGTTGGAATGCTGTTGATTTATTAAGTCGAGTTACTATACCCTTTGGATGCTTGAGTGTAAATAGTGAGAGATTCAAAATCTTGTGCTTTTGATGAACTAGATCAAACTCTAAATGTAGAGACTGGAAAGTCACTTGTGGAGATTGCATAGGGACTGTTCTGGCAAATACCATAGGCGTGACAACTAAAATAATTAGGCTTAGAAACTAAATCTGCCTTGGTTGGACCACCCAGAAGGTGTAATCTTTTTTTTTTTTGGCTGTCCACCTTCAGGGTGTAGTTTGCAATTGAATTACGGAATGCTGATCCCGCACCAGTGGCAAGTGGAGTGGTTAGATAGAGCCTGGAGTTGTCAGGCTACAGACTAAGTTTTAGTTGTGGGGATTGAATCATATAATTTAGTGGTGATGATTTGTACCCAAAACTATCATATNGTTTGAGTGTGCTTGTGATTTCTGCCTCAAATTGCTGATGCCAGTGCACAGATCATGTGGACATAATCATTTGATTCCAGCCAGTACTATTACCTAAGGATTTACTTGCAAGTCACATGGATCATAGATAACTTACGAAAAATTGTGTTCTTTTGCAGTTCCGAGGAATTTTAGGTTATTAGAAGAGCTCGAGAGAGGAGAAAAGGGAATTGGGGATGGAACTGTAAGCTATGGAATGGATGATGCAGATGATGTATACATGCAATCATGGACTGGGACAATAATTGGTCCTCCAAATGTTTGTTTTCCTTTTTCAATCTTCCTATTCATGTCCTGTAAATAGCATATGACATAGTTATATATTACTGCATTCCCTGGGATGTTGACTTACTTTTTATATTTAAAGGTTGGAGGTATTTGAAAGGCCTTGGGCTCATCTTCAATGTTGGAATGCTGTTGATTTATTAAGTCGAGTTACTATACCCTTTGGATGCTTGAGTGTAAATAGTGAGAGATTCAAAATCTTGTGCTTTTGATGAACTAGATCAAACTCTAAATGTAGAGACTGGAAAGTCACTTGTGGAGATTGCATAGGGACTGTTCTGGCAAATACCATAGGCGTGACAACTAAAATAATTAGGCTTAGAAACTAAATCTGCCTTGGTTGGACCACCCAGAAGGTGTAATCTTTTTTTTTTTTGGCTGTCCACCTTCAGGGTGTAGTTTGCAATTGAATTACGGAATGCTGATCCCGCACCAGTGGCAAGTGGAGTGGTTAGATAGAGCCTGGAGTTGTCAGGCTACAGACTAAGTTTTAGTTGTGGGGATTGAATCATATAATTTAGTGGTGATGATTTGTACCCAAAACTATCATATGTGGCCCATCCAAACAATTCTCATCAGTGAATAATTCATACCGTAGAAAGAAACAAGGTTCGATGAAACTTTGAAGAGTCGGCAATCACCTTTTAGTTTTTGCCTTTTGTTTCGAAAGTTATTAAAATTCTTTTTTTCCTCACAAGCACATTTAAGGCACCTTTTGTGTCTGCATTTTACTCTGGTAACCTTCCTTATGATTATTGCCGTTATGACAAAAGGTGAGAAATTAATAATCATAAATTAGTTGTTTGCTTTCCTGTTATCATGGTAACAGTCCACTTTGGTCATACCCCTCAATGATCTTGCTTGGGACACTAATGGTGTCTTGTTTTGCTACCATAGTAATTTCATTCATGCACTAGCATAATTTCAAAACTGCTGAGCTGAATTTTTTCTTCTTGGTATATTCTTTACTAATGTCAACTATATTCTTGAATTTCCTTCCTGATATTGATGATATATTCAGTGTTCTCTATTAGCTCATATTATCATGAAGCACCAGGCAATTTGATGGTTACAACAAAAAAATCCATATGAAAGAAAAATTCAGTTGCTATATGTGACATTGGTGTTGATATTTTCTTTTTTTAAGTTCAAATTGCTTTGTTATGGGATTATTTACGTTATCAACGCATAGTGAAAGAAGAAAATTGTTGTCTTACTATTTATTGATGCTGCAAGACAGACTGTTCATGAAGGGCGCATCTATCAGCTGAAACTATTCTGTGGTAAGGATTATCCGGAAAAGGCGCCAGGTGTTAGGTTTCAAACCCGTATAAACATGAGCTGTGTTGATCGCGAAACTGGTTTGGTAAGTACTGTCACTTGAAAGTATTCTAAGACGAAATGTTTTAAAATAAGCTCATGGGTGGCCGAATTACCAGGTTGAGCCTAGTCTTTTCCCCATGCTTGCTGACTGGCAACGGGAGTATACAATGGAGGATCTATTGACTCAATTAAAGAAAGAGATGATGTCTCCCCAGAATCGCAAACTAGCTCAGCCTCCTGAAGGTTTGTCAACTTTACTTCTCAGTTGCTGGCATTGTTCGATTTTACCTTATATCTCCTTCAAGGATTTAACTTATAGGCAGCCATTCATTAATAAAATCTTCTATTCCACACTTTTTTGTCCACTTTTGGCCCCAAAGACAAAGGATGCGTGTGACAGAATGATAGGAAAGATGGCTATTTCCTTTAAATGGGAGGAGTACTATATAGCTTCCATTATCTAGGGTAGAGCAGTCCATACACTGTTTTACTATTGTGCAAACACAATGCAAGCTACTAGCAAATAGTTACAATAAGATTCATGTTTCTATGGAATTTTTCTAAGCATGTGCAGAATGGCACTTGCTATCGTTTCATGGCCTATATTTGAATCTTCCTATAGTCTCATGTATATTTATATCTGATCGCTGGGATGGTGGAACACACCCATGTTTTTTCTCTGTTTAGTGAATGTAGTAGTAGTGATTTTCTTTGATGTGCTACTTAGGAAGATGAAGCCACTAACCATAGAATGCTCTATTTTCTTTAGGCAATGAAGGAGGGAGGGTGAATCAGAAGGGGCTGATGCTGAAGTGTTGTATTCTCTAATTTGTAGAAATGTAGACCATGATATGTATGTAAATATAAACAGTTGACAATTCCACCCCGGCTTTTGGAATGAGACTGATTAGCAAGATCATCCATAATCTTGGGATCAAATTGATCTTTAACGTTTAATCATTAATGTCAAAAATGTTGTTGAATAAGTTGGACTCTAAGATGAGTCAGTATCATCTTCAAAATTCGATGAGATTTGTTTTCTTATTTATTTTGTTGTTTTTTTTTCCTAACTAATAGTTATATCGGATTTTCGATGTTTAGGGTACCCACTTAATACTTTTAGGCATATGCTGTCTCTTTTGTTCCTCGTGTTTTTTTTTCCTAGTATTGTGGATAGGGATTGTCCAGATCAGCTTATCTGTATCTTTGACTAATCATCTTTTTGGTCCGATTAAAGATATGCTATATAAGTCAAAATTAAGGAATTCATGAGATATAAATTCTTTATGGTCTGATGTCAAGAAAGTTTTTAAATTTCGAACTCAAAATGTTCGATTTTACAAGTTTACCGGTCGTTTTTGTCTACCCTTGTGTTGGTGTTAAATCTCTTTCGTTCTATATGCACTGGGCAACCAGAAAAGACTCGGTTTAGGATCTCTAATTTGTATAGTGGGTTCTTGACCAACTTGTCAGCTTGGTTTGTTATACATATTTTTTGCCTAGAAAAAGTTATTATTCGATGCATAGTGCTCAGATGAGAACAAATAGACATTCCAAATCTGCTCCATTGTTGGTGAATCCTTCTTCGGCTTGTAAATTTGGACACCATGCGTGTACGCTTCAATTCTCAGTTCGTGAAAAGCTTAAGAACAAAGGGACACAGATAGGACTTTTTCTGAAGCAACGTGAGGGTGAATTATTAATGTTAGTTCAAAGGCTGATGTCTACAGTAACATTAAGGAATTGGCTGTTCACCAAAAAAAAATAATTTTTCATACTTCTTATTGCTCTTAACCAAACACCAAAAAAAAAAAAGAAANGTTAGTTCAAAGGCTGATGTCTACAGTAACATTAAGGAATTGGCTGTTCACCAAAAAAAAATAATTTTTCATACTTCTTATTGCTCTTAACCAAACACACAAAAAAAAAAAAAAAAAAAAAGGATTCCTCCCATACAAAATTAACACAAAAGAGTTCAAAGACCAAAGAGGGAAACATGATGGAAAGACAATAATTCGTGGGTCTCTCCCCCCCACCCAAAACCCAAAAACCCACATTTCCAATATTTCGTGGGTCCACCCACCAACCTTCATTCATTTACACAAAGACGATAACCTTGACTAACATTATAAGTGACGTAATGGAATAATGTGACCCACTCCGGCTAAAAAACAAAAGAATAATCATATGTCGTTGAGGATTCAAGTCTCTTCCAATGTGTGTTTATTTATTTTTTAATTTTTTTCCAATCTCAGATATATAAACTGTGTACATATTAACGGTCACTAATGTGTTGTACTTGAATTCATAGAATGTGATATATGGAATGTGAGTTTCATCGGCGATTAATCTTGAAAACAAAATAGATCAATTTTTATACCCGCAACTACGACATTATTAAGATGTGGACTTGGGTGACTTGTCCTTTGATGTTGCAATGAATATGCTGCAAGACATCGTGAGGCAAGCAACATTTGTGTAAAATATACTACTTTCTAAAATGATGATTTCAAAGTTTTCTAAATGTATTTAAGACAACAATTACAAAAATTTCCTTTTTGGATGTGTTTGAATCATCTTTAGCACATGTTTTAAAATTTTCTCAATAGCAAACCACTCTCAATAAATATAATGGGATTTGGACTCTATGAAGATACAGAATGGTAGAGACAAAGTAAACATTAGAGATTAATTGTATATTTGTGTGAGAACGAGACCAAAGTGATAATCTTGAAAATTTTTTATTTTTTATTTATTTTATTATATATATATATATACATATTTTATCATTATATTTTTATATGAAATTAATGTATACATAATATATATAGGCAAATAAGATACATCTCAACATAAATAATTAAATTTCTATCCACTTTCCTTTCTATTTTGGAGGGATTGATTTTGGTGAGTTGGAAGGAAAGTTAATTCATCTACTTTTTCATTCTTCGTATTTTCCTTTCTTATCAAACATGATATTTTATCTATCCCTCAAACTTTCCATCCTTTCATTTTTCATCATATCAAACAGAGCACAAGTGAAGAAAAACTCCTTCTGTCCGAGAACATGTTGTAATAATAATAATAATAATAGCCAACTAATATACATCAGTTACAAAGATGTGAAGATTTGGCCAAGTATGGTACCAATAAATGATCCTGGATTTTACTTTAGAAAGTTGTTATTACTATCATCTAACTTTTTTACTAACCAGGATTCAAGCGTGTCGATTTTACCCACTGACATAAATTCTGCACGATGCGAAACTTGAAAGTGACACGACCAATTAACACAAATAATGAATTAATCAAATGAAGGTTAGTCACAAATCACACGAATAACTAGAAATGTAAGAAAAAAAAACAGTAATTTATAATTTTTTTTTAAAATTTATTTACATATTATAATATGAATTGTTTTAGAAGTAAATAATTTTTTATTAAAACAAATACGACACAAATAAAAAATGACTCGATTCAAAAATAACAAAATCAAAAATGACACGACGCGAATTGATACCTTATCTGCTAACTTTTAGTTGGTTTTGTATGGCAATAAAAAACCGTGTTCACAAATTTCCAACTTTACCATTAACAGAGGATGATTGAATGGATGAAAATTGAAAAAAAAAAAAAAAAATTCAAGTTAAGATGATGCAACTTCCATGTGAACATCATGAAAAACTAACTGGACCCCAAGTCAAGTCACATATTTGTTACTTCATTTTGGAGGTGAAGACACCTTTACTGTTGCTTAGGAATCACTGTATGCCTGTTCATTTCCCTTCCTCTCTCTCTCTCTCTCTCTCTCTCTCTCATGCAGAACAAGAATTACGAATTTCTATATTTTTTTTTTTTTTATTATTTAGTTGGAATAAGGGTTTAGGTAGCTTTTTTAAAAACTGAAATTTGTTTATGTTTTGAAAACTTTAAGGTTACAATTTTTTCTATAAATTGTCATATGTACTACAATTTTACATACTTAATCAATCAATAATACAATATTTCAAGAATTATTCTTTTCATATTCTCTGTGAATTTAGTGTTTTTATTCTTTACATGTGTACTAGTAGACGATGATCTCTTTGTGTCTCCGGTTATCAGCTGCGTCACTCTCTCTCACATACACACACGAACAGAAACATTGTATAAACCCAGAAGGTGTGAATCCAAAACATCAAGGGCCTATTTCGTTTGGAGTAATACTAATTTGATCTATTTTGTTGACATAATAATGTGGCTTTAACAGAACCATTGGATCAACACTAAATTTTAATATTTGATAGGCCCCACAGTCAATTAAAATGTCATAATGAATTAGGTCAATAAATTAGTTCTCATTGCTCTTGGTTTGTGGGGGCATTGTTTGATTGGAGATGTAAAACCCGAGATGTAGGGTCTCTCATGTCCAAGGCACCAAAAACTACAGTTTGTTGAACTCCACATATGTAGGCTTGAGCAAACCCAGGGGAATGGGTTTCAAAGATGGGTTGTTGGATATTTAGGTAAAAAGACACTACTACCCCAAAATGGATATGTATTTGATTAAATAATGGCATTTACTATGAATCCCATGTAGGAATCCAACTGGATGAGATTTGAAGGAACAAAGAAATGCAATTCAATCTCCATTCGTTTCACCATCCAAACATGGCACAAAATCACTAAAGCAATTCAGAATTTCCCAGACTCTCAAGCCCCTTCCCACCATTACAATAACCAATCAAACACTCCACAAGGTTCCTCTATATGGCCCACTTTTTTCTTCTCTCTCTCCATTTGTTTTTTCCTGTAATTTTGGCATACGTAGTGGACAGCAATGCTTTGGATTCAACCATGCACACTCTATCCTAAGAAAAAATTCCTTATTTTGACTTTTAAACCTTTTGTGCCAATCTCGTCACCCAACTTTCAACATAGTATCAATTAGGTCCAATTCATATGTCAGTTAAATTGTTATTATTATTATTTTTTTTTTTTGAAGGTAAATGAGTTTCATTAACGTAAAAACAAATGCAAGAGATACATGGTTAGTATCATCAAACGAAAACAAGCAAGTACTCCTAGGAAAGGGATTGTTGTAAAACAAAACCAGGCATATTATGTATGGGGTGCCAAGAAATGTACTAGGTACCCCATACAGAATAGCCCTTACAACATGGATTCAAGATCAAAAGACAAACAAATTGGATATGCTAATGTTATGCTAGACAGGATCTGGGGAGCTGCCATAAATGAACCAGTCTCAGGTTCTTGAGTGAGTTTTTGGACTTGAGGGATGAAACCCTATCTTGAATGGTCTCAAGAATGGTATGCAGCAGAGCTTGATGTGTCTGACCCACATATTTGTTGGAGTGTAGTCTGAAATTCCTTTCCCTCCATATATAGTAGACAACCGCTTGTAGACTGAGCTTCTGAAGTACTCTAAGCAGAGATTTGCCCTTTCATCTCATAGTTGCATATACCAAAACTTGTTGCCAGGTACCCCCTATCCCAAATACCTCCACACAACTGCATTAAATAGGACCAGATATGGTGGGAGTGCTGACATTCAAAGAACTAGTGATTATGATATTCGTTAGATAGCCTGCATAGCATGCATTCAGAATCTAGCTGAGGGACAAACAATTGGGTCGTATCCTTAGTGCTAAGCCTTTTTTTGATGGACAACTAGAGAATGAAATTCATCCTGAGAATTGCACGGATGAACCAGACCAAGTGGTGCCAAGGGACAAATTGGGTATCAGTCTTTAGACAGAATGAATTCATGCAAAGACACCAGTACCCCACATTTCAAATAAAGGACCATGAGAGTGCATAGTAATTTGTGGGTCCACCATTTTAGTTATTTGGTGGGTGGAGTCGGAAATTTCGATTGATTTTGATAGTGATTTAACAGCCATTAAGCCCTAAATTAAATCTGGCTCTTCCAAAGGCGAAATAGAAAGAAGGTAGGG